ATACGATTCCTCTTTGAAAATCACAAATCATAAATCATGTACTCGTACCCTACGTACTGTATACCATAATATTATCGATATGGAATCATAGTATCGTACGTATGTATTAATCATACCCTAATACTCCCATTTTTGCAATAGAGCGATTTGTGAGTGAATATGATTTATGGGACTAGGGTTTGTCCGTTTGATACGAGTGTGAGCTAAATCACGGGTAGATATGCCAAATGTCGGAATCGTTCAGGACGAAAACGAAAATATCAACAGGCATAGCATACAGGGAGTTCGTACGAACTCGTACCCTACTGCGTGCAAAGCTCATACTACACCTTACTTCTTGAGGATAGCATCATAGTTAATACTACTAGTTGCTTTCACATTTCAAGTGCAATTATTCCTAGTATCATTTTGAATACGAATGATGCATACCACATATCAACAAAAGGCCTCTTTTGCCGAGAACAAACGAATGTTGTCCGAGAACAAATTGCTATCTTCTTCGATGATTCCAGACGTCCTTGGTGGTCTTGTATGGCGATGAATTGTACTCGTTCCGTAATGTCAATCACAGGACTCGAACAAAAGCATGCATGTGCAGCCAATGGTATGGTGGGAAACAGCAGAAAACGCCATCGCGTGGGGTTGTAACGTATCTGATCGAGGCGGCTGTGCATAGTGTTGTTGCCATTCAACTATTTGTCGCATGAACGAGATAAATTTTATTGAACAAACCTTTCGGCAGTCAGTGCTCATCCATATGCGCTGGATCCCAGTTTACAATACGTCATTCAGTCCAGGACAACGCTGGCAAAACGCATGCGATTCATATCAAAAGCACTCTTTTGCGATCTGTCACCTATCCGATATCTCGGTTGTTGAGCAGTACGATACTCGGATAACAAATCCAATCCAATCCAATCTGCATCGGCACTAGACATTGATGACAAAGGATGCGTTTCGTCGGTTTGTTCTGCCCATATTTGGCTATCGATGTTTCTTATTCCTCGGTTCACAGCTTGGATCCCGGAGGGGTTGCCAATCGAAGGCCAGCTCTTCGCCGTAGTCTACGTGGGACAAGGTCAAACCATGTGCCGGGGCGCACTCGAATTCGGTTCGCTTGCCATCCTCCACCCAGCTTCCGGTGACAATGGCTCGCTCGATATCTWCGATCCGAAGCTTTCCAGTCCCCACCGCCACGAGGGAACCCACTAGGAAGCGCACCATCTTGTACAGAAAACGGTCTCCCCGAACCAAAATTCTATAGTTCTGCAAGGGTGGATCCATCCCGGGAAAATAGAAGTCATTGTGAATTCCCAGAGGATCCTGTAACTCGATGCGAAGGTCGTAAAGCGTACAAACGCAATTCTTAGAGTTAGAAAGACCATCGCCATCGCTGCCGCCTTCTTTTGACTGCTGCTGTTTGATGCGTTTCCGTTTTTCCTCCGCCCCCCGTGCTGCACCCTGAAAAGCAGAAAAATCATGGGTCCCAAGCAATAACGCACAAGCTTGTCGGATGGAAGCAAGGTCGAGTCCTTCGAAGGAGTTGGACGACACCGCCATCGATGATCCGACATGCCACGTGGCTTTRCGCTGCGTCGGATCCGGGAGGTAACCTGTTGATAAACGATATACGTAGGTTTTGGACTTGCTGCTGAGMGATGCGTGAAAAACCTGTGGCTGGCTTGCTTGCTGTTCGCTCGGCACMATTTTGGGAGTGGGGGCGATCCCCGTCACCTGGATGTCGGATGGCCGCATTCGATTAAAGGCAAAGGCAATCCTGGACAAATTGCTGTTCATGGGAAGGGGTTCGAAACACGAGTTGTCCGTAGGCGTCGAAGGGTGAGGTATTCGTTTGCCGGGGACGACTATGCTGCTCATGGCCTCGTCTTCGTCGATTACMGCTCCATCCCTGGCTTCTGAGAGCGATGATACCTTCCCCCCGTTGGCCGTAGAGAAGCCTTCCTTGAGGCAATAAACCTGTGCGATCATGCAGGTTGCGTGCACCCCCTTGTCGGTGCGGGAACACCCCTCCACGACGATTCTCGTATTAGGATCGACGTCCCCGTAGAGCTTGGCCAGGTTCTCTTTGATGACTCCTTCCACCGATCGGACAAAGCCCGCGGGGAGGCGACCTGCGTGTTCTTCTACGTATCCACGACGCCGGCTGTGCTTTCGTCGCTTCTGCGTATTGTTGCCGCTGTTCCCTTTGTTCGCGGCGCTCCATCCTGTGAATTTGGAACCATCGTAGCTGATGCGAASTATTGCACTGGTCCATGGCTTTGCCTGCGGTTGGTCTTCCGAGAGGTTATCGTTTGTATCACTCCTGCCTACCACTTGGGTTAGACTGGTTTCGGACGTTTTTGTTGCTGATGCTTCGCTATCACAATTTTGTTTCTCCACGTGAGGAGAAGAATCGGTGGCAGACCCCGAAAAGTGAACTTTCAGTCGCTTGGAAGCTTCCATCAATGTGTCCTCGTTCTTACAAAATGCAAAGCGTAGCATGTCGGAAGCGAGGTGGAGGTGATCGGGGCCATAAAAGGCACAGGGAGGAATCGCTGTGACTCCTACATCAGTGGTCAGCCATCGACTCAAAGCCCAGTCACGTGGCATTTTTGTTGTGGGCGGTTGGTCACTGTCGCCACCGCTRGATGGAACCACCATACGAGGGGTTGCGGACGTGACCTGCGTCGCTGCAATTTCCTCGTACGGAAAATCAATCCCGGATGTGTCGGCCATGATGAAAAATCCACCATCGGGGACCACGGCCCGGAAGATTTTCTCCCTGTTGTTGTTTCTTTTTTCTTGCTGAAGATTGCTTTTTTCATCGCTGCCATTCCCTGGTATGCTTCCGGCATTTTCCAGCGCATCGATCAGGATGCTACGCTTTCGGCCATAATCGGCTGCCAGCCATTCGTAGTAGGAATTGTAAYCTTGGTAGGGCTTGCGTGCCAGCACCAAGGCACGAGCGATAGCATCCTGGGTAGGAGTGACGGGAGAAAAATTGCACCTGCAAGAAATGAAACGAAATAAACAAAAAAGGCTTGGGTAAGAATGGAATTTCATGTTGGATGTGACAGRAGTGGAGCACCGAAACAAGACTAAGATATCCCGTGGACAGATAGAATCATTGACCAAACAACGCAATTCAATAAAAATAAAAATAGAAAAACAAAAAAGGCATCGGAGCAAGCGAGATTTCTAYAACAKACACTCACCACTGCTGAATCGCCGTGACGGCCTTGATGAGATGCGATGGCCCGATGGCCCATCCCACCTTCCACCCGGTGCACGAAAACGTCTTACCCGCGGAAGACATGGTCAGGGTTTGGTTCCAGATCTTACCACGGTTTACAGTCGCTATCGAAATGTGTGGCAATCGTTGCCGGTTGCCGTTTTCAGAAGATGGATTGCCTTCGCCATCACCGCATCCATCAAATACAATGTGCTGGTAGACCTCGTCCGATATCACCACAAGATTTGGGTGCGATGCGACAAGGTCAGCGATCCCTTCCAGCTCGGTCCTGGAGAATATTTTCCCGGTGGGATTGTGGGGTGTGTTGAGAATCAGCACCTTGGTACGAGGRGWGATCTTGGAGGCGAGTTCCTCCAAATCGAGCTTGAAGAATTCCGAGGCACCGATCAGCGCGTTGTCTCCCGTGCTCTTCGGGTCTGTGGCAACACCGAGCGGCACAGACCTTAGGGGACAGTAGACACATTTCCCACCGGCCAGTGCTACCTGGCTCGAATATATGTCAAAAAAGGGTTCCAKCAGCAGAACCTCGTCCCCGGGATCGATCAATCCCTGCAGGGCGCAATAGAGAACGTTCGTGACCCCAGTGGCCGTCGCCACGTTCGAGGCCGCGTCTAARCTCTCCAGCGTGCTGGCAGGAAGGTCGCTGTCCCTCCACTGGTAGTTTGCGTAATCGTTGCGGAGGGCGGTGGCCAAKGGAAGGTGGGCATAGGACCGTGCATATTGGTTGGCTGTTTGGATTGGCAGCGTTTCGGTTAAGCTTGCGGTATCGTTGCTATGAGAAACTCGTTCATATTCCGGATCTGTGGATCGCTTCAATTCTTCGATGAGAAACTTCGGTGGGTCCCAATCGGGAAATCCCTGGCCCAGATTGATGGATTGGTGTTCGGCAGAAAGCGGCGARAATTCGTGCCACACGGTGGGTGCATCTAGTCCCTCCAGCCGTTTCGACAAGAGCGGYGGGCCGTGGCTGCTGGGGCAGTCAGATTCCGTCGCAGCGAGCGAGACCACCGGGGTGTCGTCGAAAGATATCGGCCATGGAATCTTCTTGGAGTACCTATTGTCAGAATTTCTTTTCGAATTGCCCTTGGAATTTCTACTGCGGACGACAAACGCGGACGCATAACGGGAGGGTGACGAACGCGACTTGCATTTTATGGAAAAAGGAACAACGGCCCACGGCTTCAAATCCGTGGAAAAGATCGCTCCTAAACCAATGGCGATAACGAACGCTTTGTCGACAAGCACYACCGAACGCGGGGCTTTGCGTCGCAGCCGATGCCGATGGAGCCCTGACGATCTTGTATCCGTCATCCTGATTCGGATTGTGCCGGTAAGCTGATGATCTGCTCGGATTGGCTATTGGTGAAATGACAACATATCCGTACCAAACAAGATTTGCGATCGTACCGGTACGAGTAGCTGTACTGATAGTACAAGTACAGATACATACGTTACTGATCAGCCCTTTACTGGTAACTGGTATCGTACGTATGGTGTGTACGATACATACATATAGTAAGGTACGAGTTACAGATTCCCATTGATCTACCGTACCTCATGAGGAGGTAGATGGTCTAAAAGTCTAAATGGGTCTACTTTAGACTTTTYAGTTTAACAGGAATCATTAAAAACAGGGTGCAGGGTTSCAACAGACAGCTTTTTAGTAGGCCCTCTTCTACTCTTAAGGAATCCGGAATCTCAATGACAGGAATGACTAACAAGAAGACTGGAAAGAAAGGGCGCCTGCCTCCTGGAGGTACTACCAATTACTAGTACAGGAATCATCAAAAACAGGTCTCAATGGACAGCTTTTTAGGCACTCTTCTACTATTAAGGAATCCAGAATCTCAACAGATATGACTAAGAAGACTGGAAAAGGAGGGTGCCTGGTGCTGCAGGTACTACTACTACTAGTACTACTAATTAAATCATGAAATTTTCCATACTCCTGTGGTGTTCTACATGTAATAACAGATAAAAATTGTTGTGTACTCATAAATTCCTCTCTTCTTCCCTAAACAATAGACAAAAGTTCCCTCCAAGCAAACAAAAGGGACACAACAATGGGCATCACTGAGAACTTGGTGGAGGAATGGGAAGGAAAACAAAMGACCCCCCAGCAGGAGAGGTGCAGAAGGGACAGAAGAACACCCAGGATTGCAATCCATAGATATACCAACTCCCTCTTTATCTTCCTCTTCCAGTCAGAGAGCAATCAAGCACTGCTTAACTGTTGTGGGATAGACYACAGGGTCTTTGGGGATCTCCTTGAGCTATTTGCTCTAGCTTTCAACAGATACTCAGTCAACAAGAACAATGAGATTGTCCTCCCCCCCCTCCACTCAGAGTGGAAAGAAGAAGGGGAAGCCCTGGGAGGCAGATGCTACTAATTGTCTTGGACTGGTGCTCTTCCAGTACAGAAATAGAGGGTCTGCTGTTGCCAGGGGAATGACAAAGGCATTTGGTCTTACATCAACAATGATGTACAAGAAATGGCTCAAGTTCTCCATGAGGATCCTCCTATCAGTGCTTCACRACCATCCACTTGCCATGGTCAGTCTTCYAAGTGAGCAAGAAATCAATGAGTATGTTAGAGAAATTGGAGCAAAATATCAAAGACTTGAAGAACAACAACACATTGGGCAGCAGCAGATGGGCTCAAGATTGAGATCCAACAATCATCAGACGACTGGCTCAAACAAGAGATCTACTATGACAATGGACAGAAGGCAAATACTAATCTGAACAATGGGGTATATGTGTTTGCGCCTGATGGTATGATCTGCATTGGAACCTTCAATTGCCCWGGCATGTGGCATGATAGCTCCATTAGTGACTTGTATGGAGTGTATGACAAGATGGCCAAAGTGGACAGCAACTCTGCTTGAGGAGCAAAGGTTGTTGTTGATTCAGCTTTTGGCTTGCTGGGCAGGGACTTCCTCATTCAGAGTTCAAAGACAGATCCTTAGAATAAAGGTAGTCTCCTATTAAATAGTAGGGACATCACATTGCTGAGACAGATATCTGAGTGGGGAATGAGGATGATCCAAGGACAGTTCTCTAGGATGAAAGATAGGCTTAGATTGGAGGACTATGGAAGAGGAAGATCATTCTCCACTTGCTGGTCATTTTGTACAACTATCAGCAGTGTAGTACCATAAGGCACAACTGACAGTATTCATGAAGAGGCCATCAGCAACATGCAAGGCAATGGAGGAGCTGCATTGACTTCAGGACCCTGCATGAGATACTCCTTAGTAAGAACAGCATCCTGTTCAGCAATTTCTTTCTTCAGCCTTCCATAGGATCTCTTTTTTGCTGTCACAATAATTGTGGGTTCATTGTTGATGTCAGTTGTGTCTGAAGTTGACGTGCTGTGTTGCTTGAAGAGAAATCCTTTTCCAATACCTCTACATCCTCATCATTGATGTAACCTTTCACTGGATCACTTCTCCAGTTCCAATATTTGCCTTTATTCCAATCAAATGCTGGGCCTCTCTTGCAAGCTGGACCAACTCAGGGACAATGGGATTCCCAATATGCGCCTTCTGTCTCCTCAATCAATTGAACTTGGTTCTGATGGAATCCTTTGTCCTACCATAGGGATAGCTCTGTCCATGTCTATGAACCACCATGAGCCAGTCATCCTTACCAATGGGGAGGATCTCCTTGACGAGAGTCATCAATRAGATAAGCTCATCTTCTGTGTAGTTTGCAATACCAGCCTTACGGCCCAACCCTTCTACTTTTGGTTGTCCTCCTGAGGGAGAGACTGGTGCAGGTGGAGGCAAGCAATCCTCATTACAAGARGGAATGGTAGCATAAGGACCAACAGCCAGTTGTCATTATGAGAGGGATCTTTCCCCCTCTCCTTGTGTCAAGGGGCTTTGGTTCTTGACACAAGAAGACCTCCAGCAATTGTGCCTCTCTTTGTTTCAATCTAATGTACAGTATAACGACTAAGACAGGGGGCATTGTTATTGTTGTCTGCTTTATGATCATAGCGCCRGCGCCTTTTTGAAAGGCGCCTTCTATTAGTAAATTTATTCAGTCCTAAATATGACAGGCCTTTTCAGTTGAATCTTTCAACAGATTTTCATTCTTGGATTCCAGTCTAGATTTAGACTTTCTGTCATGGTGAATAGAGTGTTGACAGAAAATCAAAAAATTAAGACTAGATGGTCTATTTTTGGTCTCTCTGTCTGTCARAAAGTAGACCATCTAGATTAATGGGAATGACCCAATAACTCGTGGAATTAGGAGATAGAAAATACAATCTGTTCTCGTCTGTGCCACAAATGGTTACGAGTATGTAGTATTCGCCTTGAGTGGAAGATGCCACAAACGATTAGTTAGCATCCGCTTTTGAAGTCGATTCTGATGGGAGAAAACCTCGTATCTGTCGAGTTAAACTTATAGGGCTAAGGCTAAAGAGTTACTTTAATCAATCGTTCGTGTAGGCACAAGGCTAATGGTCGTAATTCGATCGGAATCGTTCACCTTTTGGACCATGACCCCAGTGGCAGAACGACTCTGGCATGGAATCTGAGCCACTTTTTGCCGAACCATGACACCCTTCGACGTGATGGCTAAAATCTCATCACTCTCGTTCACGATACTGAAACAACTCACCTTGTCTGAGTCGTTCTCCGCGGAAGATTTCTTTTTGAATTTGATTGCAATCACACCAACAGCCCCTCGAGAGGTAGACCGAAATGCATCTGTCGATACACGTTTTCCGTAGCCTTGTTCGGTGATACAAAGAACGAATTCTTCTTTCTTGTGTTTTGCTCCAGCGCCCGCCCCTCCTAATATATTCATGTCGGCAATTGTGTCACCGTCGCGGAGTTTCATTGCCTTTACGCCCTTGCTGGWACGTCCGGTGGGGCGCAGTTTCGAAGCTTCGAAACGAGATGCCATACCCCGTGATGAACCGATCAGAATGTCGTCTTTGTCGGTACAAATGTGGCACCACTTTAATTTATCATCATCTGCCAATGTCGCAATTCTCAACCCTCGTGCGGATATTTTCTCGAACGCATCCAGCGGTGTCTTCTTTATCATGCCTTGTTTCGTGGCCAATACCAAGTATTCTTCTTCCGTGAACTCGGTAACTGGCAACACGGCCGTGACTAATTCGCCAATGTTGATGGGAAGAACCGATGGCAGTGGTGTTCCTTTTGCAGTTCGGCTACCCGAAGGGACCTGATATGCACGTAAACCATACGCAACACCATCCTGGCTGATCATAAGAAGAGTATCNGGAAGGTGGGCATAGGACCGTGCATATTGGTTGGCTGTTTGGATTGGCAGCGTTTCGGTTAAGCTTGCGGTATCGTTGCTATGAGAAACTCGTTCATATTCCGGATCTGTGGATCGCTTCAATTCTTCGATGAGAAACTTCGGTGGGTCCCAATCGGGAAATCCCTGGCCCAGATTGATGGATTGGTGTTCGGCAGAAAGCGGCGARAATTCGTGCCACACGGTGGGTGCATCTAGTCCCTCCAGCCGTTTCGACAAGAGCGGYGGGCCGTGGCTGCTGGGGCAGTCAGATTCCGTCGCAGCGAGCGAGACCACCGGGGTGTCGTCGAAAGATATCGGCCATGGAATCTTCTTGGAGTACCTATTGTCAGAATTTCTTTTCGAATTGCCCTTGGAATTTCTACTGCGGACGACAAACGCGGACGCATAACGGGAGGGTGACGAACGCGACTTGCATTTTATGGAAAAAGGAACAACGGCCCACGGCTTCAAATCCGTGGAAAAGATCGCTCCTAAACCAATGGCGATAACGAACGCTTTGTCGACAAGCACYACCGAACGCGGGGCTTTGCGTCGCAGCCGATGCCGATGGAGCCCTGACGATCTTGTATCCGTCATCCTGATTCGGATTGTGCCGGTAAGCTGATGATCTGCTCGGATTGGCTATTGGTGAAATGACAACATATCCGTACCAAACAAGATTTGCGATCGTACCGGTACGAGTAGCTGTACTGATAGTACAAGTACAGGTACTCGTACGTACGTTACTGATCAGCCCTTTACTGGTAACTGGTATCGTACGTATGGTGTGTACGATACATACATATAGTAAGGTACGAGTTACAGATTCCCATTGATCTACCGTACCTCATGAGGAGGTAGATGGTCTAAAAGTCTAAATGGGTCTACTTTAGACTTTTYAGTTTAACAGGAATCATTAAAAACAGGGTGCAGGGTTSCAACAGACAGCTTTTTAGTAGGCCCTCTTCTACTCTTAAGGAATCCGGAATCTCAATGACAGGAATGACTAACAAGAAGACTGGAAAGAAAGGGCGCCTGCCTCCTGGAGGTACTACCAATTACTAGTACAGGAATCATCAAAAACAGGTCTCAATGGACAGCTTTTTAGGCACTCTTCTACTATTAAGGAATCCAGAATCTCAACAGATATGACTAAGAAGACTGGAAAAGGAGGGTGCCTGGTGCTGCAGGTACTACTACTACTAGTACTACTAATTAAATCATGAAATTTTCCATACTCCTGTGGTGTTCTACATGTAATAACAGATAAAAATTGTTGTGTACTCATAAATTCCTCTCTTCTTCCCTAAACAATAGACAAAAGTTCCCTCCAAGCAAACAAAAGGGACACAACAATGGGCATCACTGAGAACTTGGTGGAGGAATGGGAAGGAAAACAAAMGACCCCCCAGCAGGAGAGGTGCAGAAGGGACAGAAGAACACCCAGGATTGCAATCCATAGATATACCAACTCCCTCTTTATCTTCCTCTTCCAGTCAGAGAGCAATCAAGCACTGCTTAACTGTTGTGGGATAGACYACAGGGTCTTTGGGGATCTCCTTGAGCTATTTGCTCTAGCTTTCAACAGATACTCAGTCAACAAGAACAATGAGATTGTCCTCCCCCCCCTCCACTCAGAGTGGAAAGAAGAAGGGGAAGCCCTGGGAGGCAGATGCTACTAATTGTCTTGGACTGGTGCTCTTCCAGTACAGAAATAGAGGGTCTGCTGTTGCCAGGGGAATGACAAAGGCATTTGGTCTTACATCAACAATGATGTACAAGAAATGGCTCAAGTTCTCCATGAGGATCCTCCTATCAGTGCTTCACRACCATCCACTTGCCATGGTCAGTCTTCYAAGTGAGCAAGAAATCAATGAGTATGTTAGAGAAATTGGAGCAAAATATCAAAGACTTGAAGAACAACAACACATTGGGCAGCAGCAGATGGGCTCAAGATTGAGATCCAACAATCATCAGACGACTGGCTCAAACAAGAGATCTACTATGACAATGGACAGAAGGCAAATACTAATCTGAACAATGGGGTATATGTGTTTGCGCCTGATGGTATGATCTGCATTGGAACCTTCAATTGCCCWGGCATGTGGCATGATAGCTCCATTAGTGACTTGTATGGAGTGTATGACAAGATGGCCAAAGTGGACAGCAACTCTGCTTGAGGAGCAAAGGTTGTTGTTGATTCAGCTTTTGGCTTGCTGGGCAGGGACTTCCTCATTCAGAGTTCAAAGACAGATCCTTAGAATAAAGGTAGTCTCCTATTAAATAGTAGGGACATCACATTGCTGAGACAGATATCTGAGTGGGGAATGAGGATGATCCAAGGACAGTTCTCTAGGATGAAAGATAGGCTTAGATTGGAGGACTATGGAAGAGGAAGATCATTCTCCACTTGCTGGTCATTTTGTACAACTATCAGCAGTGTAGTACCATAAGGCACAACTGACAGTATTCATGAAGAGGCCATCAGCAACATGCAAGGCAATGGAGGAGCTGCATTGACTTCAGGACCCTGCATGAGATACTCCTTAGTAAGAACAGCATCCTGTTCAGCAATTTCTTTCTTCAGCCTTCCATAGGATCTCTTTTTTGCTGTCACAATAATTGTGGGTTCATTGTTGATGTCAGTTGTGTCTGAAGTTGACGTGCTGTGTTGCTTGAAGAGAAATCCTTTTCCAATACCTCTACATCCTCATCATTGATGTAACCTTTCACTGGATCACTTCTCCAGTTCCAATATTTGCCTTTATTCCAATCAAATGCTGGGCCTCTCTTGCAAGCTGGACCAACTCAGGGACAATGGGATTCCCAATATGCGCCTTCTGTCTCCTCAATCAATTGAACTTGGTTCTGATGGAATCCTTTGTCCTACCATAGGGATAGCTCTGTCCATGTCTATGAACCACCATGAGCCAGTCATCCTTACCAATGGGGAGGATCTCCTTGACGAGAGTCATCAATRAGATAAGCTCATCTTCTGTGTAGTTTGCAATACCAGCCTTACGGCCCAACCCTTCTACTTTTGGTTGTCCTCCTGAGGGAGAGACTGGTGCAGGTGGAGGCAAGCAATCCTCATTACAAGARGGAATGGTAGCATAAGGACCAACAGCCAGTTGTCATTATGAGAGGGATCTTTCCCCCTCTCCTTGTGTCAAGGGGCTTTGGTTCTTGACACAAGAAGACCTCCAGCAATTGTGCCTCTCTTTGTTTCAATCTAATGTACAGTATAACGACTAAGACAGGGGGCATTGTTATTGTTGTCTGCTTTATGATCATAGCGCCRGCGCCTTTTTGAAAGGCGCCTTCTATTAGTAAATTTATTCAGTCCTAAATATGACAGGCCTTTTCAGTTGAATCTTTCAACAGATTTTCATTCTTGGATTCCAGTCTAGATTTAGACTTTCTGTCATGGTGAATAGAGTGTTGACAGAAAATCAAAAAATTAAGACTAGATGGTCTATTTTTGGTCTCTCTGTCTGTCARAAAGTAGACCATCTAGATTAATGGGAATGACCCAATAACTCGTGGAATTAGGAGATAGAAAATACAATCTGTTCTCGTCTGTGCCACAAATGGTTACGAGTATGTAGTATTCGCCTTGAGTGGAAGATGCCACAAACGATTAGTTAGCATCCGCTTTTGAAGTCGATTCTGATGGGAGAAAACCTCGTATCTGTCGAGTTAAACTTATAGGGCTAAGGCTAAAGAGTTACTTTAATCAATCGTTCGTGTAGGCACAAGGCTAATGGTCGTAATTCGATCGGAATCGTTCACCTTTTGGACCATGACCCCAGTGGCAGAACGACTCTGGCATGGAATCTGAGCCACTTTTTGCCGAACCATGACACCCTTCGACGTGATGGCTAAAATCTCATCACTCTCGTTCACGATACTGAAACAACTCACCTTGTCTGAGTCGTTCTCCGCGGAAGATTTCTTTTTGAATTTGATTGCAATCACACCAACAGCCCCTCGAGAGGTAGACCGAAATGCATCTGTCGATACACGTTTTCCGTAGCCTTGTTCGGTGATACAAAGAACGAATTCTTCTTTCTTGTGTTTTGCTCCAGCGCCCGCCCCTCCTAATATATTCATGTCGGCAATTGTGTCACCGTCGCGGAGTTTCATTGCCTTTACGCCCTTGCTGGWACGTCCGGTGGGGCGCAGTTTCGAAGCTTCGAAACGAGATGCCATACCCCGTGATGAACCGATCAGAATGTCGTCTTTGTCGGTACAAATGTGGCACCACTTTAATTTATCATCATCTGCCAATGTCGCAATTCTCAACCCTCGTGCGGATATTTTCTCGAACGCATCCAGCGGTGTCTTCTTTATCATGCCTTGTTTCGTGGCCAATACCAAGTATTCTTCTTCCGTGAACTCGGTAACTGGCAACACGGCCGTGACTAATTCGCCAATGTTGATGGGAAGAACCGATGGCAGTGGTGTTCCTTTTGCAGTTCGGCTACCCGAAGGGACCTGATATGCACGTAAACCATACGCAACACCATCCTGGCTGATCATAAGAAGAGTATCGCGATCGTTACAGGTAATGCAGTGCATCACCTCATCGTCAATCGAAGAGGAATCGCCKGCAAACGTGCCTCGCTTTCCCCTTGTACCCCTGCGCTGGCTCTCGAAGGTTTTCAATTCCATCCGTTTGATGTAACCCCCCCGGGTCACCACGATAACTATGAATCCGGATATCATTATCGTCAGTATGTTGTTTCAAAACGAAGGAAAGATATGCCCCGCAGGAAGTCACACAAGCAACGCGTTACAAATGGCAAAGAGCACGCTGTAACTTACCCGATCTCGAATTTTTCACCATATCCAATTCTTGGACCTCGCCATCCTCATCGTAGATGATTTTTGATTGTCGTTCAACTCCATATTTGCGATCCAGGTCGGCCATTTCTTCTATCATGAGTTCATACACCGCATTGTCTTCGTCCAAAATCCTTTGGAAGCCCTTTCGGCGAGATTCCAGCTCGTCGCGTTCTTCGCTGAGCTTATCGTGGCTCAGTCTCGTCATTTGTCCCAATTGCAATTTTAGCACAGAGTCGGCCTGGATACGGGACAGACCAAGGGCAAGCTCACTGTTTTTGTTCTTGCCACTGGAAGCTGATTCGTCAATTTTCATCAGTGCTGCACGACAGGCTGCTTGATCCGGCATGGTCCTTATCAATTCGATGACGTCATCGATGCGGTCCAGCGCGAGCAAAAGCCCATCGACGATGTGTGTTCGTGCTTGGACCTTCCCCAACTGAWAACTCGTTTTTCTCCGTATTGTTTCAAATCGAAAATCCAAAAAGTAGTCTAGAGCATCTCGAAGGGTAAAYCTCTGGGGTGTCAGAGCAAAGGAAGATGCCTTTGCACTGCTTCCTTTCGTTGTGCTTTCTACGGATGTCGAAACAGAGTCTGGCTTCATGAGAGCCAAGAAGTTTCCCGAAAATGATGTCTGCAATTTTGTCTTCTTGTAAAGATTTGCTAGTACGATCTTCGGGTTTGCATCGCGTTGTTTGAGTTCAAGGACGATGCGTATGCCATCCCGGTCTGATTCGTCCCTCAGATCACTAATGCCTTCAAGCTTTTTGTCGTTGACAAGGTTAGCTATCTGTTCCAGTAGGGCCGCCTTRTTGACCTGGTAGGGCAGCTCAGTAACGATAATGGCGTTGCGGCTCTTCTTTCCGCTTCCTTTTATTTGTTCAAGATGTGTGATGGCTCGGACCAGGACCCGACCGTTGCCAGTGGTGTRCAATTTTTTTGCATCGGAAGTACCTAGAATCGTCGCCCCCGTTGGAAAATCCGGCCCCGGAACAAGTTCGAAGAGTTCGTCGTCCGAAAGGATTCCCTTTTTGACCTTCTTGCTTTTCGTTTGGGTCTCGGTAGACATTCGTTCGGTTTCGATCAGTGCCTTGCAGGCCGCCACAATCTCCCGCAGGTTRTGAGGAGGAATGTTCGTTGCCATCCCAACGGCGATCCCAGAGCTCCCGTTGAGCAAGAGAAGCGGGAGCTTGGATGGAAGGACGGTTGGCTCTTCTTCATTTCCGTCGAAATTTGCCGCAAAATCCACAGTATCTAGATCAAGTTCCTCTAATAGCCCCTCTGTTGCCAGCGACGTGAGACGGCACTCGGTATAACGCATGGCCGCCGCGGGATCGGCATCAACGGAACCAAAGTTTCCGTGTCCGTCGATGAGCCGGTAGGAKGTGGAAAAGTCCTGGGCCATTCGTACAAGCGCGTCGTAGACRCTCATGTCACCGTGCGGGTGATATTTCCCCAGGACTTCTCCGACTACGCGGGCGCATTTACGGTGAGAGCCTTTGGGATTGAGCTTGAGCTGCTGCATGGCGAACAGGATGCGCCGGTGGACGGGCTTCAGTCCGTCCCGGGCATCCGGAAGCGCCCGCCCCAAAATGATTGAAAGRGCATACTGCAGAAATGAATTTTCCAGCTCGCTGCGCAAGTCGACGTTGTCATTGCTTCCTGAAAGCATTTCGTTGGCCCGCTCRGCAATCTCAGCTTCGGACGTGAAGGCTTCTTTTGGAACCATTAGGGTGGGCTCGTCTCCTTCTTCGGGATCTTCTAAAGAAGAARATGCGGCAAGCGAGGAGGAAGTGGATGCAAGAGGCATGCACACCAAAGTGCCCTTCGTCTGTGCGCACCAATGTGGATTTGCATTTGCGTTTCGGACTGAGTGAAAGTTTGTATGCGTAGTGCTTGTAGCAGAAAATGCTTTTACGGTATCGGCARCGAAAAGRATCGATAAGAGCAGCAGTATCAACAGCATGGGCGGGAATAACARTGGACTAGCAATCGAGACCATCACTGATCTTGAATCCATCCATTTCGCCGTTGCTATTCTTCTCAAAATCGTCATGCTCGCCATTTTCCTATTTTAAGACAAACTATCGATAAACGTTAATTAGGACCCCCAGGTRATGACAGGAGTAACAGTGTTTCCAGTGCCTTCCATTGAGAGTATTTGAAACAAGAAGCGAATTGTTCGGGTGGATAACCAATGGATCGAATGAATCAACWTSATCACCAGGAATCATGATCTAGGTCAGAAATAACGAAATCCATGAGCCATCGAATGTGAAATCGATGAAAATCATGCAACCAATCATGGAAATCTTTGGAGACGAAAAGCGTCGATGGCTGATGCCACCCCGTCTGTCCATCCCTAGATTCCAATATCTGCAGCGTCCCTCAGTGTACGGTACCAGTTCATTCGATATGAAGTGCGTTGACCGAAGATTACGGTTCGTATGTACCGTACCATACGTTACTCGTACTCGTACGGTAGATTTCTTCGTTGCCCTAATTCTCTACTCACGAGTATTTTCTACTTTGATACTAGTAGTAGTATTTTATGTCGTGAATGTTGGACCCCTGCCTGCTAGGCTGAAAGTTAGAAGTACAGTCCGAGTCCGGTAATATTTACTGTAGGTAAGAGTACTGGGTACGCTCGTACTGTGAACAGCTAGCAGGCCATGCTTTTCGAATCGAATCGAATCGAATAGAATACGGTAGAATAAAATAGCTCCTCATGAGCAAATAGAATCCAACAATCCATTCGAATCATTTAAGAGTCGTCCACAATGGAGCTGTTAAAAATAATGCTATCCCTCACTTTCAGCGCTTTAAGAAGGGATAGCATTGCTTTAACAAGTTACTACCATGTCCCATCCTGAGKTTACTTYTTAATTAGYGCTTTATTTGAATTTTACGCAGAATTAAMTCACAAGATAATTTATTTATACACTTTTTTAAATAACCCTTCACTGATTGTTCCTAATTTATTTAATGCCGGTCGGTTGTTTTCTGTTGTATCAGAGGAATTGCACTTCAAAGGATGAGGGATCGTTTATCGTTAATCGTACTTCGCACCGTACCCGTAGGTACCTCGTACTCGTACTTGTACGCCACGGTACAGTAATTTATTTGGACGGATCCTCGTATTTTGTTCAAGGGGAACAAAATCTGTCAGAAAATCTCGCATTTCCAGTAATCGATCGCCGTCCCACCGTGCGACCTTGAATGCCCCTCCCAATTTTCATGATTATGATTAGCATATCGCATGATAACATCAACAGCAACAGTCCCCAAGAATTAGAKGTCTGGTGATAGGAAGAGAAATGGCGCGATAGGGCAATTAAGTGACYTCCCGCACAACAAGAAAGTCCAAGTCCATTRTTTGTTGACCATAAGGTATGGCGAACTCCAGGAYGAACGGCAAAGACGAGAAGAGGGAACTCGGTTCCGCCCCATCTAAGCTCAAAATGAATGGTCATGAAGTTTCCGAAGATGAAATTATTGTCGTGCCTTCAGGTCCATTGGCGATGGAAGRATTGTGGGCGRAGGAGTTGTCGCGCATCCAACGGAATGAAAGAGAGGTAAACGACGACAAGGTACACGGGATAAAGTCATGGGCCGTCGGGGAAACACCAGAAAAGATCACCCGCGCGCTGAATACTATGCAGACAGAGATCAACATGTTGYCGGTTGAGGAGAAGCGCGCCCACCTACGTGGACTCAAATCCCAGAGTCTTTACACACAGAGCAAAGAGTTTCGATTAAGATTTTTGAGAGCGACTGGGTTCAACACGAAGGATGCTGCTATTCGATATTGCAAGTGCCTCGATTATTTGGTTGAAGTTTTTGGAGAATTCGCTTTGACACGACGTTTGTTCATCACTGATTTGAATGAAGACGAAATCAGCTATTTGCACGAAGGAAACTTCCAGMTTTTGCCCTCCCGGGATTGCCTGGGAAGAAGAATCGTTGCTTACAACATACATCCTACTTCCCGACCGTATTCAGTGGAAATCATCTTTAAGGTGTATGCGTACCTACTCTTCGCGATCATATCTGAGGACATAACTACCCAACGCAATGGAATGGTGTATGTTGGCGTCATTGGAAAAACCAAGCTAAGTCATGGGGGCAATCACATGCCCCGTCTCCGCCGTATGTTCGRTGCGATTCCTCTTCGTTGGGGCGCTGTTCACTTATGTGTGCCAAACGAACCGGTCTACCRAGTCATCACAGCGCTATTTATGGCTTGGATTGGGCAGGAAGGACGGAAGGTTCTGCGAATACATCGTGGTTATCCAATCGAATGCTGTTACAGTCTCCGAAGCTTTGGGATCCCAGTAGAAGACATGCCAGAAATGCAATCAGGACAGTTCAAAAAAAATATYCTTCGATTAATCAAGGTTCGAATGGCTATGGACAAATTTGCAAAGGAACAAGAAATTGTWTCGAAGAAACTGAGTCGGAAAAGGGGTGCCCCTTCAGCACCGAAGCCTTTYTTGGGAATAGAATGTCCCGAAATTAATTTCGTAATTCTGGGATCCTCGAAAAAAAATTGSAGTCAGAATGATAAGCACATTGGCAACGCTTCATTTCGAAGRATTATGTTCGCAAATGAGGGATTCAAGAACTACCTTAAAGATCGCRATGAAAAGGGTGAAGGAAATAGCAGGCGTGCTGAAATAAAKAAGATAGCTGAGGCCATCTTAYATGAGTCATGGTTGGAGGGGCTGCATTTCGTGGAGTACAACCAAGAACAAAGTTTCTTTACGGAGATGCAGAGCATAGAAGATATTCGTCAAAAAGTGGTGACAGACATGAGGCACCAACGAGTCAGACACGAGGCGGAAGCTTTTGCGGTCTCTAAAAAAAGAAATAGTAGGGGTACTGAGTCGTCGGAAAGTGCGTCATTCGATGTATCACAAAGAGCCTTCTTTACAGGGTGTGTATGATTTCGTTGAACTTTATGAGACAATATCAACAGTATTCCTTGTTTTGTCACAAAACCTTGTCCACATGAACCAGGGCACACTGAATACATATTRGTTCATATCCATAATGGAAGATATACATGTGCGAATGCTTAGGGTGTACTAATAATAGTTCTCTTTGATCAAACATTGGATATATTTTTACATAGGATGAGCGTTGAACAAAACCTCATGGCAGAATTAGCTTAAATCTCTTTAACACGCCATCAACCTGTGGCTAGGAGGCCATGCTTAAATAATTTTCATTCCATCATTCATGSTTTATTGGTGACTTCTTAAAACAAATCCACCAGAATCAGCATCACTTTCAAATTCTTGCTTTGTGACAACTCATTATGCAATAGATGATGGTGGTACAATGAATAGTATGAGTACCAATATTTCTTAGCATAGAAGTAGTGGTATCTAGAAACAATCATGTCAGAGCTTCATCATAGTGCACTATCAAGCTTTTTGGAAGTGAGAAGATWACATTTCTCCCATACCACTCCTCTTCTWGTACTTGATAATATCACACATTTTATCATTAACTGCAATTCTCCAAATGCTTAATTGAWGATGACTTTACAATGCTGCAGTAATACTAGAAATAGCAGGCAGCAGTGTACAAAAGCTGTCTGACTCCATCAGAAAATAACATTCACTGATGAATAACAGGATATATTAATGTTTCCATTGGATTATAGCATCAATATACTAGGTGCAATGATGTAATATTACAGGGCTTTTCCAGATGTAGGGGTTTCAAAAATTATGAAATAACAATTTATCTTTACTATGTTTCAGGAGTTTTTCAAAAGTTATTTCCCATACTACAAATCCATTAACAATTGATCTGCACACAAATCCATTGCTTTACCATCACCAAATTAATGATCCCATCAWTAATGTAAGACATGGTACAAAATCCKCAGAGGTGGTTTTCAAATATTCTGGTGGTGCAGTCTGAATTCTACTTCTTTCTGAACATGTAATGATGTTGAAATTTGGCAAACAAACACTCTGTAGAGCTCTGTACAATTTGTCCCAAAAAATTAAGTATGGGAGGATCAATAAATGAATGATGGGAACCAATCAATAAGTGTGAGAATCAATTGTTGATGTTTTTGTAGCAATGTCAAACAAATCTCTCACCCCAACCAACATCTCATGGATTTTTGTGACTTGGATTGCAACTTCTGGGAATTTTGAATCTGGATCATACACTAGTAGTAGAAAATCCATAATATTAGAATTCATCTTGTTGGTTACAAGAATTGGTTGAACATGCTTCTTCAGATGAACAAGGCATCAGCCTTGTTGTTTGCTGAGGGACTCCTCTAGATTGTGAATGCAATTCAACAAAGGTGGAACATTAAGTTGCTTGTACTAGTACTAGTAGTATGTTGGGTTGCTCAGGGTTGGATGTATGCAGTACCACAGATTCATCTACCATGGATTACTTAAACTGCTTTGTTAGGTGATCAACAGCATCTAGGCAACTGGCAACAGTGAAGAATAAGTCATGACTCTTGGAAACAATTTTCTCTATTTGCAATATCCTCTTTCACTGCTTCAGTACCTTTTCATGATCAAAGCAAAGCTATTTCAAGTGGAAAGCAACATCAAGGAAGACAGTCCTTTTGGTGTTGTCAATGTTTGGATGTTGTAAAATCAATTACTATTCTTGCTAATGTCACCATCCAGTGTGAATTACAGTCTTCACTTTTGTTTCAACAAAGCTATCAAAATCTGAGAATCCATCACCTCCAAGAGTATAGAAGAGAAAGTACCATCTCCCTCCTTGTGTAATGTGATATGTACAAACATGTWATTAAAAACAGGACCAATCCATAGTGGTGATAGATTAGTCTTTGCTGATTTTCTGTTTTGATTTTGGTTTGATTTTTGTGTCTACTAMTGCCAGTTCATGCAAAAAAGATACAGAGGATGRTGTAGCAAGTACTGAGTATTCATGGAATGTATATAAGTGATAGAGTACTACTAGGGAGTTGCTGGTAATGCAATTGTTGAAAAATAGAAAAAGGTTGGAATGTTTCACAATCTGATTGTAGTAAAATTTGTGCCTGGCWWCAGTATGTTATTGTAACAACCAGTGGGTGTGACCTCCTGTTTCATCTGCCTGGTTCCTGTTTCTGTCCTCATGATTGCTGTTGGCAGAAATMCAATGATGGCATAAATCCTCCCTGGTACCAATAGCCAACAAGAATGTGTCCTTTGGTTGTACTAATTAATGGTATTTTGGGAATAATGAACCCCAAATGGACAAAATACTAATATTTGCTGGCAAGGGTCCAAAATTATTATGAGGGCCAYGTGATTGCCAAAAAATATTTCCACATTTATTTTAGCTTCACATATCCCCCATGSCACCAATAGATAGGAATGTATCTTGCTATGAAGTTCATCTATGATATTTTGCAAGAAATAATATCCTAACAGTGCAAATACTAGTAATTGGCCAGRAACCCAAAACACTAAATCAATATGAGGGCCATATCAAGGAGAAATAAATTATTTCCACCTTCAATTTAGCTTCACATATCCCCCATGGCACCAATAGACAAGACTGTATCTTGCTAGTATGAAGCTYATCTGTGATATTTTTCAAGAAATGAWACCCTAACAGTGCAAATACTAGTAATTGGCCAGGAACCCAAAGAAACACTACTATGAGGGCGATAACTTGGTCAAAAATGGGAGTTACTAGATCATTCAATTGAGCATCACAAATCCCCGTTGGCACCACAGGCACCAACAAAGAGGACTTTAACTTGCTAGAAACCACATCTTTGATATTTTGCTGGATAAAAACACTACTCGTCTGACAGCATGAATACCACTAGTAGTATCTGCCAAGGATGACTAAAAGACACCACCATTACTACTACAACAAGCTACTGCTACTAGTATTGTATTAATGCCACAGTCAGAGATCAAGATCATTACTATTACTATTACATAGGTTCCGTTTCATATTGTTGAGAATAATGCATTTGGCCATAAGTGATAGTTGCATTACAGTGCTATTTCATTGAAGAAGGGACCATAGCTGTAATAGTACTGGTGGTATTACTAGTAYGGAAAAACTGTGCCTACGGTACKTGGTACCGTGCAGGTACCRATCAATAATGCAACTAATTTTTCAACAGTAGGAAATCATGTACAAGTCTAYGTACGTACACTTCGCTAATATCCTACTGACCAGCACAGTATCAAAATCCATCATGTACTCGTACCATGCRGAAAAAATCCGCTAAGTCAAGCATAAGGCAATTTCCATAGTAAAAAGACAAATGATGAAGGTAATTCTTGACAATAACAGAAACATATAAWWATAACACTTTTCTAAGATCTTAGGGGGAGGACAACAAGCAGTTACTACAGCAGCAACTCGTATTAGCGGACACCGTATCAGTGAGTGTATCAGTGAGCTTCTTCCGTATCAGCATCCTCCTTATCAGCGGACACC